TAGATCACTCTAGACAATGGAGACTGCAAGGACTCTTAAAGATCTCCTTAGCTCTGATTTTCCCACAAAGTAATGAGTAAAAACTGGAAGTGCCATCAGACATAATCCTTACCCCACCCCCAAGAATTCCTGTGTGATGGCTGTTTTTTCCTGCAGTGAAGAAGAGTAGGAATCTGGTGAAGACACGACAATGCCACCCACTGCTCAGTGGTAGATCACTGAGAAGTTGGCATGCTCTCTTTTTATCTTTATCCAGAGATTTCTTTTTAAAGACCTGTTCCTTGTGTCGTGTTTACAACTTATTCTGTATTTGAACATCTGTACATATTCTTTATGTTGAAGTTATTGTACAACTGCAAATGTATATGCATACTGGGAAATGTAATGACTTCTTTGTGAGCAAGTGTTAATAAAATAAATTTTATTGGTATTTATGGCTGGTAGCAACTTTTAAAAACTGCTTAGAGTGCAGTAGAAGTGGTTGGTCCCTCTAAGTAGTCACAATATAATCTCACAAGCGACTATTCTGAAATGTCTTTGCACCTTGTTTTATTGCGGCTGAAGGTGATTCACCATTAATGGACTCTGATCAAGACAACCTACAGTCTGAGGTTGATGGTAAGTCGGTTTTGACTATTAACATCTTTTTCATCACTAAAAAACTGTTGCATACACTTGTTGGCCCTTTTCATCTCAATCCAGCTACTAGCTCAGTGGTACCAGGTCTCACACATTGGCATTTAGTCCCCGAATAATTCAGAAGTTTAAATTAGTGGCATTTGCAGGCATTTGTTTCTTATAGAAGCAATAAGTGAGACACTTGCTAGTGAAGACTATGTACTTGCTAAAGAGAGAGCTCCTAAAATAGCCATTGTCGCAGAACTGTAACTGCTTGTAGCTCATGGAGCATTATGAGAGAGAAATTGCTGTAGCTGCTTTTAACGAAAAGACAGTATTAAAGATATTTAATTCCAAGGCATATGGGACAGCAAGTCCATCTCAACACTGCCCCGCCAGTGTTTCTCTGCAGTACTGAATAATAAACTACTCATGTCCCTGATGCCCCTCATGTATGTGAAAGGTACTGGATCAAACTGCTTCCATGGCAGACCAATAAGCCAGACTGAAAATTCCAAAGACTTTCAGTCATAATTTCCATAGAAAGTGTAGCGCAGCTTGGCCATTTCTTCATCACTTGTAATAAATTTGTAACAAAGACTGGTCTAATAGGATATTTGTAGCTAGCTACACTGATTGCTTAAAAGGGACCCCATCAGAAGTATCACAGTACCACCCTTCTCTAAATAGTAATATGACTGATCAGTAGACTACAATCTCTGGGAACTTCTTGGGGTAGGGGAATGAGTCTGACAAAAGAGGATCCCAGTTGAGTAGCCTATCATGTAAGTATATACACCCCTAGGGGCAGAAATCTTTATAAACTCGAGGAAGAGCTAGTGGTCATGTTTCCCATTCAGCCCCTTTTTAAAGTGCTAGCAAGTCTCTGTTGTTTGACTTTCCCTTTTGCACATGGCCTGTCCTCCTTTTGGTCCCCCTCTGTGATGTACACAGACTTACTTAGCCAATAACTTAAGCAAGTGCAACAACATGATTTGACAGGTTTCAGAGTAGCAGCCGTGTTCCTTTTCTTTTAACATGATTTGAGTTATAGGTCTGACTCAAGTCACAGATTTTTTTGACAGCATTATCTATTGAAGCCAGGACAGGTGCTTGGATACTGTCTTTGTACCTGCTTCAGTTGTCACAGAGAGAAAACTGAATGCCTTGCTTTAGCTAACTGGGCCAACTAAGAGAGTTGGAAGCTTTTGGGGTAAAGCTCCCACTACTCGGTTGTCTTTAGTATCTCATTTCTTCCACTTCTGGACTGATGCCCTCTCAGACATAGTGGGCTCACACTATTTCAACTGAGATAATAGCATATTTTATTGGAGGGGAGGGTAGCGCTCTGTCTGTATGCTTTGCCATCTTTTTATCTTTACCATTGTATTTTGTTGCATTTATTTAAAGACTGGACTAAAGGGGCAAAGTAGCATTATTATTGTATGCCAGGACTCAACTACCAGTGCAAAGTTTTGCTTTTTTAAAGTAGCATGATTATGACACACTCACACACACAAATAAAGTGAGCACCAGAGCAAGGCAATATATGTTTTTGCCATCATTGATGATTATGTGAGATAATTTTCTCTTTTAACCAGAATCCTCATTCCTGATTCATTGTCAAGTGGTCAAACCTGTTGTTCTTGATTTGCCTTGCTAATGTAGCTTCTACATTCTAAAGAAGAATGGTAGCCTAAACTGAAGAATCTCGTGGGTGATGTGCTGTCGTTTATGGTTTAGCTTTTTCCACACCTACTGGACTTAGACACTTCTTCTATTTAAAATGAGCCGATGTCTAAATAAATTCCTTGGACTACTTTGAAAATCTCAACCTGTACGTCTTGCAAGCTGGTTTTCGGGTGCTCTGTGGTAACCTAAACTGTGTTTAGGAGAATTTCATGGTTATTTTGTGCTTTACTTTGCATTTTAAACACAGTGATGTTTTTGATGTGGTGGTGATGGCAGTTGAATTTTGAGCTAACTACCTAGCAATTACAGGCAAGCTCAAGTTAATGCTGACCATTTGCAATTCACTTTTACATTAAGAGACTCTCAGAAGTAATAATGGAGGGGGAAAAATACAAACATCAATGCCCTACACTATCCCTTTAAAGGCCAGCAGGTATGTAGTTTCTGTCATACTTCCATGTTGCTTGTTAAACTGATTCAGGACTCAGTAATTTTGAAGGCTTGCAGTTGTGTCCAGTTTACTGTTCCAAGAAAACCAGTGTTCCTTCAGAGGCCAATCTATTATTTATTTTTACAGAAAAGCATCAACTTAAGACTAAGTCGGGCATTTCAAGGGAGAGGCAGAGTCCTGCTGGCAGAAAAGGAAGCGAGGGAAGAGGCAGAAGAGAGGTCTTCAGGAAAGACGACAAGAAGCCAAGGCCAGGAAGACTATGTGCAGTGGCCGATGACATGCGTCCAAATCTTCCTTACACTGGGAATTACAGTTACAATTAATCCCACTGTAGAAAAGTTGTCCTGGCATCACTTGCCTTTATCTAATAAGTATTATATCAAATAGGAAGCGATAGGATACTAATGATATGCGTGTAATGACAACTTAGCCAGCCAGAGTAATTTTCCAGTGGCCTTCTCTATTTTTATTTGAAAATACTGATTAGCATGGATGCCTCTAACAGTTAGACATGTAAAGAGAGAGCTGGATGATAAAAATGACTACTGTATGGGGTAAAACTGTGTAACAGCTCTTCATGCCACTGAAATAGCATCTGCAATGTGACTTTATTGCATCGCTCATCAACTCCACGAAAATGTCACTCTCCTCTAGCGTGAATTGCCACATAATTATACTATGATTGGTGGGGGGCAACGTGGCTGTTACACTGATTTAGTTAGCTATTCAACTGACCAAACCTTCTGAAAAACAGATTATGCTCCAAAGCATGAAAAATGTCACACAACCTCAAAGCTCACAGTGTTCAGCAAGGAGAACTTTCTGTCTGATCGGGCATGCTCTCGCCTCCCACCCCTCCCTCAGCTTCATTTATTGGCAGCTGAGGATGAGGATGGTGAAAACTTTAGCGCTTACACCTGTTCAAGTCGAAGGGCATTTTGCTGTTGACATGAATGGAAGCAAGATTAGGGGATATTTGCTCATATGGCAGACAGAGGTCACCATGTGGAAAAGGAGGCAATTTTCTGGTTAGGTGTCTCATTTTTAGCGATGCTGAGCACCTACAATTCCTATTGGATCCAGTTGGGGAGGTAGCTACAGGTACTCAGCACCTCCAAAAAGTAGGCCCTGTTTATGTGCCTGTCTGTAGTGTCATGTTTGAAAATTTTGGCCAGAGTACATAAGGACCAGAATAATGTAAGTCACATGGGTGTGAGGAACATCGGGATGCATGGATGTAACTGAGAACAGAAGCTGACCCTTGGATTGTATATAGTTTGAGCATGTTAGTTTCCCAATGTTTGGCCTACCAATAGCTCATTTGCAAATGTGGGGTGTGTTCATAAAGCTACAAAATTGGATAAAATTTTTTTTTCCGTTTTCCTATTTCTTTGCTAGTGGCAGTTATTTTAAATAATACAGAGAGGATTTACAGGCGATGAGTGAATTGTAGTTTGTATAAATACTGTTCCTTGTACAGTACCCATGGATAAATTTAGTTCTGTAGAATATAGAGATCAGCTGTTTAGCGCTGTGTATATAAAATAGAATCTAAACTCCTGTAACAAAGATTTTAATAAATACCAAGTAAACTGGTAAGCTTTACAGAAACAAGAAGTTGATTAATTTCTTTGTTTGGGGGGATGGAAGGAACCTGGAATTCTTTAGGTGCTGTTTACCTCCAGTCACGTGCACTCCTTCTGTCAGTATCTGATTACCAGAAGTCTGGGGCTCACCCCCTTGGTATCGTTACCAAGTTCACCAACCTCTGGAAATGGAATTGTGTATATATAGAAAAACAAAACCTATTTCATTCAAAGGGAGCAGGGTGGTGGATTATTTAATTCAGAAAGGCTCTCTACTAGGACCAGAATGCTTTCTTCTTTCAGTTAACTTTTCAAGAAGCAGTATCTTGAGTGCAATAGTAAATAACACTGTGCTTTACATTTACAAATATTTAGTTGTAAATCTAATCTTTTAATTTCTCTCCATTACATCCTCCCCAGTCTCTCTCTCAACAAACTTTAGTATGGTAACTTTTTAAAATATCAAATAAATTTCATCTTGTTTTTAAGCATTTCCTATACCTAGAGGTGACTGCTCTCCGCCACACATTTTTGAGCAGGTGAGAAGCTCACAATGGCCATATGATACTGTTGTTAGTGGGTAAACCAAGGACTGAGTGTGGGGCTACTCACAGTTAGAATTAAAATAGTGATTTGTAACAGTGGGACAAATATAGATTTAAGTCTCCAGCCTTTTTATTTATACAAGGATTCAAAGAACATATTTCAACTTTAGATAAACAGTGCAAGATAGTTACAAGTACCTTGGTAACAGAAAGAAATATATAACTGGCCAGCTATGCCAATAAGTGAAATAAATCTTAATCCTCCAGCTAGAAATGCATTTTTTAAAGCAAAGGTGTACTTCAGATATTTGTTATACCTTATCCCCTACCAAGCCCACCAGAAAACAATAGGTTGTTTGTCATTTGTAAAACGATAAATATCTGTGCTCTCAAAGCCGCTAATGATCCCACCCGTAGTTAAAACATACAAATTATGGCACAAAAGAGCAAGTTTAAAGACAGAGATGCTTGTAGATCCACTAGTCCATTTTTCAGGGATGTGGGTGTTTAATAATTCAGATAAGAACAAACCCCAAAGTATTTTTTCCTTATCAAAACACTGAGCATTCACCATCTTGCTAACAGAGAAGCGAATGGTCCTTTTTCCTCTTCCCCGTCCAAAGCAGCAAATCTAAAGTGAGTCATACTCCCTTGATATGGGCTATACCAGTGGCTCCCAGCCAGAGGTCCAGGGCCCCCTGGGGGGCCGTGAGCAGGTTTCAGGGGGATCCACCAAGCAGGGCCAGCGTTGTACTTGCTGGGGCCCAGAGAAGAAAGCCATAGCCCCACCTGTAGGGCCCTGAGCCCGGGCAACTTGCAGGGGCAGGCCTGTGGTGTGGGGCCCCCAGACAGTTGCCCTGCTTGCTATCCCCTAATGCTGGCCCTGCCTTTTATATGCAGAGAACCAGTTGTGGCAGAGGTGGGCTGTGGAGGTTTTATAGCAGGGGGATGGACGGGGGGCTCAAAGAGAGAGGTTGAGAACCCCTGGGATATAGCACTTAACGAGACAGTCCCCCAAGGCCATGAACCGTGTGTGAGTGCTCCAACAGGCTGCAAATACATGATAATGAGATTATTTTTTTCTCTTCCATTGTGTCGAGCCACAGGTGACTAAATATTTATAAAACTATTGACTGTGGTGCTCAAATTTCTTTCATTTAAAAAAAAAATCTACTCCAATGCCCTTTTGATGTGTAACATTTTCCATGCTCCCTCAGAAACTGGGTTAGGAGTTACATAATAGAAGGCTCATTTATACATGTAATGGCAACATGGGCTAAAAATCACTGCACTAGACCAATAAAAGCAAACCTGCCTGAAACTACACCGCAGATTATGATAGGCCCAGTAATTTCTTCAATTCAGAGCCAGATAATTTAAATCGAATGGCAAGGTAAGCCTCTGGCTCAAGTTTAGCTTTAAGAATTAGTGGCAGCTTGGGAATACAACACCAAAATGATCTAAAATTGTCTGTGCAGAAGCAAGGTGTAATGTGGGACAATAACTCTCCCATAACTGGCCTAAACACAGTCCACGTTTTGATACAGAAGTATAAGTGTCAGCCCCCATTACGTGGCTGGGTTAGGAAACAGTGGTAGTTGTCCAACAAACTAGGAATTTTAACTCAACCAGGGGCATAAGGACTTCACTATACTTGCTTTCTTGCAACATCTCTCAACATTCCTAGCGCTCTGATCCTATAGTTTTACCTTAAATTGCACATTCCATAAACAGTGACAGCACAAATCAAATTCTGCTTTTCCCAAATCTTTTGTTATGAACCAAAACACATTTTCGCACGTAACGAAAGACACAGCAGTGTTTAAAAGTTTGATAAGCCTATAAACGTCTTAAACATAAGATATGCTTTCTCCCCAAAAATAAAAATCACAATATTAATAACAGCAGAGCCTAAACTCATGGTTCCCCATTGCCAAAAACAGTCAACTGGACTGTATTGTTACTCTAGATAAATTTCCTAGAGATACTTTTCCAAACGATGTTTACTGTATCTGCGAATGAGCTAAGCCAGCTAGGGAACCAAAGTGCACAGCTCTGTAAACACAGACACCCCGAACAGATAGATATGTATGTGTGTATATTTATATATATATCGTTTGTTGACAAAAACAAAACCTTTAGTTGAATCCACTCCTGGCACTCATGTAATGAACTACAAAAAATTACTGGCTAACATTAGGAGGCTGTGCATCCATTGCTTAGAGCAGAGGACGGGAAGGTCTAGAAGCATCCTGATGATCCACTGACGCAATGTGTGGCTGTAGCTCAGATACTGGACAGTTTTCATCTTTAGTCACTGCAGTGGTGAAGTTGGACAGGGGAGGGAGGGAAGCAGGCATTCACTTACAAAGAACTCTCAAAGCCCAGATTATACATCTGAGCCATTTTCCTGGGCAAACAAACTGCCAAGTGAAGTAATAACCCACTGACTCCCAATACTGTAACTTATTGCTTTAGGCCTCATAACTCTATGTGTATTAATATGCAATTAGTATGCAAGACTTCACAAAATAGCAATTTGCAACGACCCCTTTGGTAGAAGGTTACTGTTGTCTCTGTCATTAACAAAGAGCCTCAGTCTCCTGTTGGAAACAAACCCCTCAAATGACAAATCTCAGCCTGCATATCGTGATACTGGACGGCAGGTCTAGATTAGATCATTAATAGCTAACTTCAAAGGTTTCCAAATATCACGCAAAATCTAAATCTCACTCCCATTCACTTTAAAGTAGGAGCATTATTAATTGCCACTGATGGCTAATTTTAGTAAACAAAACTACTTCTGTACTTGTAAGTGAGAGGACTGTTGCATTTTAGTTGCAAACGCTTGGATAAGGAATCCCATTGCTAATCGAGTTTGTATTAGCATAAGGAATTATTTGAAACACCTACATCCAAGAAAATGAGTGAAGGATCATCTCTCTGCCTGCTTAAGAAATACAACAGAAAATTATGAATGAGCTCCTGAACATAATAGAGTGCTTGCTGCTGTTGTCAGTCCTAATTTTAAAAGTTGCACTGTTCTAAACCTGTCGGGCTTTAGATGTTAATGGGTAAGTGGCATTCTTGGCTACGGTTGTATAACAATATTAGGTTAACTGCATATTCCACTGCAGTCAGTCAAATGGTGACTCTCTGGAGATCGTTTTTTCTTTTCCCCCTATCTGCAGAGGCTTGTTTGAGGCCCCAAAGAGCCTCTTTGTGGCAAAACAATGAAATAAAAAATGAGGTACGGAAAGAGGGCCCAGCATTCAAAAAAGAGCAAACAAGGATGGAACAGCTCTAGCACTGCCAGATATCACAAACAATTGAGACCTTTTTTTTCTCCCTCTTTCTTGCCAAGATGAATTAAATATTGTCCCTTTTTTTTTTTTTTTTGGCAAAGTTAAGACCTCAGCCACAGTCTCTTTCATGGCTGTGCAAGTAAGTTACCGCCGCAAGTACTGCGTTGCAATAACAGCCACAGAAAGGAAGATTAGGAAGGAGGAAGGCAAAAATTTGTTGCTGGCCCCCTTTACGCCACGTCCGGACTGGTTAGGAATAGCATGTACTTCTGGCTGCCTGGTGCTGGGGTTCTTGGAAAGTCTTTTGCCGCAGACTTCATCAGGGCAGCCATCACCACTCCCAGAGCCACTGATGTCATCACCTGTACACAGAGAGAAACTCAGGGTGAGACTGACAAATCAAACTTTGTGCTCAGCACAGCACAGGACAGCCACTGCCTCTAGAGGCTTACAAATTCAACCAGACCAGGAGTTTGGAGACGGGATGGCGGGAGAATCCCAGGGGAATGAATACTGCGACTGACTCACTGTGTTTCCTTTCATATATATGGTCTGGAATATATGTATTGTATTCCTTCACTTGGTGTAGTTGAATGAACCTGGGATGGCGTGGAGTGTTCACAAGCCCTTGCAGTCAGGTGGTTAGCTGGCTCTGTTAGCTGTGGCCAAGGCTTGAGTCAGTCAGTCAGGTCCCTGCCAAACAAGGTAAAGGCTGTAGAGCACACTAGCCCTTCTGTACTTGGTCTCACATTGATGTTGAAATGGCCTATTGCTGTAGCAACTAGATACTGATTGGAAAATTTTAAAACGTGACAAGACCACCCACTGTAGGCTGCTGCTTGTGCTTTGGAGAGAGAGAGTTCAGCTTTAAACCAAAAGCTCAGGTATTAAGTAAGAACATCTTACATCACAGTGTGGGGCTCATGAGACTTAATCTCTGAGGCATCGTCAAGGGCGGTCAACTCCAGACATACACAGGGCTCTTAAGGATCAGATCCAAAGCCCCTGGAAGGCAACTAAGACTCCCCTTGACTTCACAAATCTTTGACTCAGGCCCAGAGTGAACCCAGTCCTAGACTGTTTGACCCCCAGAACTATCATGGATCTCTTCAGCTGAACATAACTGCTGCATCTGGGTACAGGATGAGTTGTGGACGCTCAAATAATCTTTAGAGATTAATTCAATGTGCTGTGGATAATGAAGATTGGTTTAAAGTGAAAAGAGGCTTGAGCTCAGGGGTTGTGCTCACAGCAGTCCGCACCTCTCAGGGGGTGTCCTTAAAGTGTAACTCAAAGTAGAGCACATTGCAATATTCTACGCTGTCGGTGACAAAGATGGGTAACCCGTTGCAAGACTAGTTTTCTATCAAATATGTTTGCCCTCAGCAGGGTTGCACGGGGTGTCTGCCAGGGGAGCATTTGACCCTGTGGAAACACTGTACAGAGCTGTGCAGTACAAAATCAACTTGCTTAAGGTTTTGACATGTCGGCCCTAGTTCATGATGGTTTTTCTGATCACATAATTGTTCTAAATGGGCTACTGTAATTGAATATAGTTATTTAGAACAATGAAAGGAAAGCATCATTCATTCATCAACATGAATGTTCACCTGAAACACAAAATGTATGCCAGACATCTTGTCTTTGTTTCTACTTTACTTAAAAGCCTGGCTCTACATTAATTATTTATTTATTTAGTGAGAGATACTCATAAAAAAAGGTTAAAAAGGCAGATTTTCTCTTGAGAGTTCTGTACTTTATGTAGAATTATTTTGATGGCAAATCTAAAATGAACCACAGACTTTAGTGAGACACACTTCTGCTCTGTGTCTTTCTCTAAAGCTTTATCACACCTTCCTCTATGTAAATTAAACACTGAAGGGTTTTCTACAATGAAGCTGAAAAAGACAGACTGCAAAACACTGTTTCTCTCAGGTAGATTTTTTATCTTGCCCAGATGAAGAGCATAGACAATATGGGTTAGATTGTAATGATGGTGTATGGGGTTTTCATCCACAATTACAGCGAATTTCATGGTGGCTGCAGTGTCCTATGATTTATTTAAAAAGTATCCAGAAAGATTGTGATTCCATTGCAATCTGGGGGGCTGGGGAGTTCTAAATTCCAAGCTGCTGAATAACACTCTATGGGAAGAATTCCTCACAGGTGAGTTAATGGTTACACAAACATGGAAATCAAATATGGCCATGGGAAATCGAAAACATTTCATCCCTAGCCACCAGGAGGTTGTGCTTTAGCATAGCAATAGCTCCATTTTGTTTGGCCACCCCAGCAGTAAATGGAAGCACACACAATGCTTGCTGTGTAGCCTGTGATCTTACATTGACTTACACATCTCTGGTGCGCACACGAGCAGAACGGGTGCAGGTTCTACAGTCTTGAAGGGAATGCTGTGCCTAGCTCTGACCACACATGATTGTAGAGCTCGGGAGATGATGCTCATTAGTCGAGATGTGAAATGGAAAGCTTTTCCCATTCCCTACGAGCTGTTCAGGGGACAGCTGAAGATCACATGGTCTTTCTTGGGGAGGGGGAGGTTAAACATCCTGGGTTGTGGCCAACATCCTTTCCAATACAGAACAGGCTCTTAGGTGGCATGTGGGGTGTTGCAGGACACAAATGGCGACTGTTACCCTGAGTCAGTACAGTACTTTCAGCAGTGCACCTGATTCTGTTATTCTAATGCCCTTTCGGATGCGGGAGTATCACAGGCTGGATGCAAACCCGCACTCCATTCTGTTCCATAACAAGGGCCAGCAGTTGTTATGAATCAGGCCCTGTACTCGCTGTAGGGCAGAGACTGTATCCTCATCAGTGTTTGGAAAACATTAACCCATTTTTTGTGCAATCTAAATAAAAATACCACCACAGGACGCATGTGGGCATTTAGTCTTCTCTCTCGTTTTATCATTCACTGCCAGGAATTGGGATTAATGGATTTTTTTCAGCTGTCATTCAGAAATCACTTGGTATTCACGGTCTGTCCTCATCCCTTTCCCATTACTTGGGATTTCTGGTGTACTCACTAGCATCCTGGAAGTCCACATCATTGCCATTGTAAGCATTGCGCAGTCGGTTTGTCATGATCTTCAGCTGCATGATTTGCTGACGAATGGTCATATCTGGCTTGGTGATGTCCACCTCTACCTCTGGATTATTAATCTGATTGGCCAGACCATCTCCCATCACCTCTGGCAAATACCTACACAGGAAATCAATTCATTCACATTGCTTTTCCCAAACAGTAAATTCTCCTTTTGGTATTACAGGTGCCATTACAACTGATTATCTACCATCTACGAGAGGGAGAGCTTTGCAGCTTGGTAGTATCACAATTGTATTTACTCGTGTTCCAATCGCAGCCTCGTGTTTCTGGTTCGTTTGTCTTTCTGCTCATACTCCTGCACTAGCGTAAGGTGCAATCTGAGCTCCCAACTCTTTGACTATAGAGATCTCCCTGGCAGTGGACAGAAGAGGACAGATTCAGGCAGCCCACACAAGGCACTGAGCTGTGCTGGGAGGTCCATGGTTGGCAGGGCAAAGGGAGGAGGCCAGTGGATTTGCCACTGTATGTGCAACCCAGAATTTACAGCAGGGGTAGGCAAACTTTTTGGCCAGAGGGCCACATCAGGGTGCAAAACTATATGGAGGACCAGGTAGGGAAGGCTGTGCCCCCCAAACAGCCTGGCTCCCGTGCCCTATCCACCCCCACCCACTGACTGCCCCCCCGGGTCCCCACTCCCATCCAACCCCCCCCATTCCCGGGCTCCTTGTCCTCTGACCGCCCCCCCCCCGGGACCCCACTGCCATCCAACCCCCTCTGCTCCCTGTCCCCTGACTGCCCCACTCCCTATCCACACTCCCGTCCCCTGACAGGCCCCCAGGGATTCCCACACCTTATCCAACCCCCACTGTTCCCCGACCCCTGACCGCCCAAACCCCGGAACCTCCACCTTATCCAACCGCCCCCTGCTCCCTGTCCTCTGACTGCTGCCCCCTTACCATGCCGCTCAGAGCGGCAGGAGCTTGCAGGCCCACTGCCTGGACTGAGCCAGATGTGCTACCCGCACAGTGGCATAACTCCGGGGGAGGGGCTGGGGTCTAGCCTCCCCAGCCAGGAGCTCAAGGGCTGGGCAGGATGGTCCCGTGGGCCGGATGTGGCCTGCGGGCGATAGTTTGTCCACCTCTGGCTTACAGTGTGCCTGTCTCCCTCTAGTGGTTGGACCCCCTATTGCTACCGACCATGCACTAACAGACTTGGGTATTTCAGCTGAGGCAGTATAGCCTCACGTTTTTAGAGCCAGAGGTCTCAGACTCTGTCCCACGCTGCTGACAATGACCTCAGGGGCAACACACAATAGAATGACCCCCGGGGTCTCTATTTAAGGCTACTTCAGCCCTAGGGTAGCTGCTGTGGAGTGTCAACTTCTGAAGGGTAGGATGCCCCACCGCCCAAGTGCCCAGGTCAGCTCTGTGCAAGGCTGAGGATCTGGTCCCATGCTGGCACCAGTGGCATAGCCTGCGTGACATCCAGCCCAAAACACAAGAAAGGGGCTCATCACCACATGGAAGATTAGGAAACTGACACATTATGACCTAGTCCATGACTGCACTGGAACTACTGGATTTACCTCCTGATATGATTAACAAGGCGGCTGGCAAACCCTTATACCCAATCAACTGGGAGCTGGCTAGCTAGTCATTAAAGCTGCATTTCTCCCTGCTCAGTGTCACTGTCAATCAAGCACTTAAAAAAAACCTTTGGCATTTCAGGCAATGCCTGAAAACATTTTAAAAACTAAGGCCCAGATTCCCAGCTGTCACAGATCAGGCTACCCGGGGATGGTAACAGAGGTATGATGTTTACAACAGCTGAGGATCTGGCCCCAAAACAATGTTTTAAGTGTAAACCATGGGCATAATGTATTTCTATGGTGGCAGAATTTGCAAGGGGTGAAGTCTGAGAGGGAACAGTGCGTGAATGGGTAACTAGATAAATGTTTGCAATTCCCAGCAGTGCCTCTGGGTTTCTTCCAAAGCGAATCTGTCCATTCTACTAACGGCATTTAATGCCTAAGCGTGTGAAGATTCTGTGCGTAATTTTTTAGCAAACGTGCTTCAATGTCTAAAAGTCTAAAATGTGGGAAGAAAGCAACACATTTTAAATTCAAGGCATCCACTTCTCAAAATCTGCCTCTGGAAAAGGGTTAAGCTTTGCACTTGTTCCTGAGAGGCTGGGGCTGAGCCCTTTAAACTGATGGGAACTGACAGCAGGGCCAGTTCTATGGCTGAGATTGAGAGGACCACAGGGGTGTGGTAACCACAGCCAGACTCCTAAACAAGCTGTGCATTGGGCTGACTAGCCCTGGTGGTGCTCAGACCAGGGCAGAAGGAAGGCGGAGGGGATCCGCCCGTAACTGTGGTGTGCAGCTGCTCAGGGGTGCAGAGGAACTCACGCAAAGGAGTTCCTGACTGCCCTGATCAGCCATCAATGGATCCTGATCCCCACACTGCCCCCTGCTGGGGCCGGGGAAGTTACTGTGGCCTTACCAATTCCTAGTGAGTAGAGGACACAGGATTAGGGTTGAAGCAACTGAGGGAGAGGCCCTTGAGGGCAACCATATTTTCGTGAAATGTCCTCTATAATGGAGTTTATGTCACAGGCTGTAAAGCGTCATGGGGCAGGGATGTGGGAAGAACTAGCTTCTCTCTGCACCTACCTTTATCTTCTCTTTCTGGTAGCAGCTTTAAGTTTAGTATGGAGAGTTTTTGCTTTGCTTCTCTACACCCCATCCTTACCTCCCCTTGGCCATTCCGTTCCAGCACTTGTCCTCGTTCACCGAGCCGGATGTTATTTTCTCATTGCAAAGTGTGCTTGGCAAGGCAACCCAGTAATCCTTGATATCTCTCAGCTTCCCTTTGGCATCAGAAACCTGTAAGATGGAGGGAGAATCTTGGCCCAAGGAAACATCTATTAAACCCCAGAGGCTGGGTCGTCCAGCTAGATGGTTCTAGCTCAAGGGTGGCCAAACTTTTTGGCCTGAGGGCCACATCAGGGTGTGAAACTGTATGGAGGACTGGGTAGGGAGGGCTGTGCCCCCCAAACAGCCTGGCCCTTATGCCCTATCCAAACCCACCCACTTCCCGCCCACTGACTGCCCCCCTCAGAACCTCTGACCCATCCAACCCACCCCCTGCCAGGCTCCTTGTCCCCTGACCGCCCCCCTGGGACACCACCCCCATCCAACCCCCTCTGCTCCCTGTCCCCTGACTGCCCCGAACTCTATCCACACCCCTGCCCCCTGCCAGGCCCTCCGGGACTCCCATGTCCTATCCAAACCCCCCTGTTCTCCGCCCCCTGACCGCCCCACCTCCAGAACCTCTGCCCCATCCAAACGCTCCCTGCTCTCTGTCCTCTGACTGCCCCCCGGGACCCCCTACCCAATCTCCCTCGCAGCCCTGCGCACTGCCTCTGCCCCCTTACCACTCCGCTCAGAGCGGCAGGAGCTTGCAGCCCCACTGCCTGGATGAAGCCAGCTGTGCTACCCACATGGCACTGCAACTACAGGGGAGGAGCCGGGGGCTAGCCTCCCTGGCAAGGAGCTCAAGGGCCGGGGAGGACAGTCCCGCAGGCCGGATGTGGCCCACGGGCCGTAGTTTGCCCACCTCTGTTTTAGCTCATTTATTTTATAACTCCGAGAGAGCATTGTTGTTTTTTCACATACAGGAAAAGAGCACTAACTTTACCTTAAATAACAGCCCTCAGCCCAAGGAGCTGGCCAACTGAGGCCAACATTTCCATGTGAAGGACTGTTCTGCTGTGTTCATCTGTTTTATAACACAGTTGATATTAAAGCCATGTATCACAACGATGTGCTGGCTCCTTTCTAGCCACGCCCCCAGCCACGCCCATTGCAATAGACAGGAGGGAAGAGATTAGCTCAGCAGGGCCACAAACCATTCTTTAAGCAACAGCGAGTGTTGTGTGATCCTGGAATGAGGGCCCAGGGAGATGGTGTGAGAGTGTGGGCAGGCCAGGTAACAGGTTCTGATGGGCAGAGACAGACTCAGGAGGGCTGGGCAGGAGAAGCAGATCCGGTAGGGCAGAGGGCTGAGCAAGGGAAAGCAGCCTAGCAGGGAGGCTGGGAGTGATCCAGGGAGCTGCTGGGGAGCAGGTGCTGTCATCTAGTGCTGAGAAGCTGAGCCACAAGCAGCTGAGGGTCAGCAGGGAACAAGGCGTTCGATCAGCCTGTCACAGAGGAGACAGGATGATCACAGCCTGTTGCCCACAGAATCAGAAATGTCCAATAAAAGACAAGGACCAACAGTGTAGCAAAACTGCAGGGAGACAACATTGCAGCTACTCCAACATCACCATCAGGAGATGTTGCCCCAGAACACCAATGGCAGAGCAAGACCAGGTCTAAAAAACCAAGGGCCGGACCTTCAGAGAGAGAAGCAACTAAGAGTGATGAAGTTCAGCAGGGTGATGCACAACTGCCTGTGTTGGAGAAAAGGGCTGGCTGGCTTTGTTCCATTCTGCTACCGATACACTTAGGGACCAAACATCTTGACAAGCTTGGGGAGTTCCACCAGTCTGGTGCTACGAAGCTGAAACTCAGCAGCCAGAATCCTGTCTTAGTTGGGTCTTCAGTGGGACAGCTATAGGTCAGTAACTTTTTCTACTTAATAGGCACATCTGAGGGTTTATTGGGAAGGCACCAAAGGCTAGAGCACAGCCGAGGGCTTGCTCTGAGCTTGTGTTATACAGAACACACCACCTGATCCCAAACAGGGTTGGTGCCCACTGCTCTCAGTAACACCCTGCCATTGGGTCAGCAACGATCCCGGCACATGACACGGACAGACATGATAAGCCCACTATTGGGGCAGGCAGTTTTAAATATTCCAATAGGGGAAATGTTTTATAAATTCAGAGAGACACTTACTAGCTTCTCCAGTCCAAGCCCTGAGGATTTATTGTCGGTGACAGCTTTTCCCCTTCTTTTCTTATCCTCTCCACTGGATGCTTTTGTGCTGATTTTGGGATTTCCACAACCTTGGAAAACCTGAAAAAACCCCAAACCAAACCAAACCTTCCTTTATATTGTGGTTCAATAGCTTTTCCCATTAACTAGTGCTGTGTGTTTATTACTTTTCCTGTTAAATAATTCTGTCTGAATTCCCCATTTCTCCCACTCACCTGATCTTTTTGATTATGACCTAGTTTTTGGACCTGTCACCATAGTCTATATTAAAAAAAGAAAAATATCTCTAGCAATTTTGCATTCTCCTTCTATGATTCTAAAAATTCATCAGGCCTTAGAAGAAAAAGCAGGCAACCCTCCACCTTTCCCTACAACACAAAATGAAACCATCCCAGTGTACTGTACAAACAAGCCACACGTGCAAATGGCAGCTATGTGGTAATTTCACTAGACCAACACTGCCAATTTAACACAATAACACAAATCATCACTAATTCACCCAGTAGTTCATGCTGGTAGCATCACCGTCTGCAAGGACTGTTACCAAATTGGACATGGAAGCTGGATATAAGAAGAGAGGGAGGGACACTTACTTTCTGTTCATAATTACACAAGAGCAATTTTGAGACATTTGTTTCTAATGCACCTTATTGGACTCTGGCAAGAGCTGCATGGCAGCTGATTGATTACCTCGAGTGCTGAGGTACAGTCCTGTAATGCTGGGGTCTAGCTCTCTCCCGCAGCTGTTCTACAGAGTGCACTTTTTAACATTAACCTTTGAAAATTTACAGTCAAACATTAATATTAAAATAATTAACAATTCACATTTGCTCTCACTGACACCAGTGAATAGTTATTAATGGTTTATTCTCTGCTATGGTTTATGAAGCAATAAATTGGTCCAAATAGTATATTACATATAGGATAAAAGATGGCCTTGTATTTTTACAAGCTGGTGAGTAAGTAAAGAGGTCTCAGCTACTTTTACCAGAGTATCAGATTACATTTCAGGGCCATCTATTGTTAAATTTTAAATGCATACAAATACTGACTGGAATAATATAATGCCTGGGGTTGAAATATCTGATGACTGGGAGAAATATCCCAAATCTACCTGATCTGCAAATCCAACTAGAATAGCTCCACTTCTGAAGGCAGAAGTGTTCAATAAATATTTATGTTCTGTGTTTGGAATGAGGATGCTTAAGTACTTCCCAGCCCATTACGAAGGAAGATGTTAAATAGCATCTACTAGGACTACATTTTTTAAATCAATAGGCCCAGATAACTTACACCCAAGAGTTGGCTGAGGAGATGTTTGGCCCACTGATGTTAATTTTTTAATAAATCGTGGAATACTGGGGAAATTCCAGAATACTGGAAGAATGCTAATATTGTGCCAATGTTCACAAAGGGCAAGCAGAGGTAATTATTGGGTGGTCAGCCTGAACAGCAACCCCAGGTAAAATAATTGAAAATCTGACATAGGATTCAATCAATAATGAATTAAAGGATAGAAATATAATTAATGCCTATCAGCATGCTTTTTTTAAAGGAAAATTGGTCATCAAATAAATCTGATTTTATTTCTTGTTTAGATGAATGGACTTCTGTGATTTGTTTGAACTTTATACTGTACGACATTCAGATTGAAAAATTCACACTATGCAATATCAATAAAGCACACGTTAAATGGATTAGAAACTGGCTAATTGGCAGATCTCACGAAGTAATTATCAATGGAGAATCAACATCACATGGGGATACTTCTGGTGGGGTTCCACAGGGAGAGGTTTTAAGCCTGCCACTATTCAATATTTTATCAATGATCTGGAAGTAAAGATAAAGTCACTGCTGATAAAATTTGCAGATGGCACAAATATCGTGTGAGGAGTAAATAATGTTGAGGACAGGACAGGAAAAACAAAGCGATCTGGGTCCCTTGGAAAGCTATGGCCATTGAAACAAAATGCATTTTAATACAGCCAAATGTAAGGTCCTACCTCTATGAACCAAGAATAGAGGCCATAGCTACAGAATGGGGGACTGTATTCCGGAAAGCTGTGATTCTGAAAAGGATCTAGGGGTCATCATGGGCAAACAACAGAACATGAACTCCCAGTGCGATGCTGTGGCAAAAACAAACACTGGATGTACAGAGGAGCAGTGAGTAGAAGCGGGGGTGGGGGTGATTTTGCCTCTGTATAAGGAAACTGTTGAGACTGATAGTGGATCTGTATTTGCATTTTAAGAGGATTCTGAAAAAACTTGGAAAGGGGACAGAAAAAGCCACAAAAATGATTGCAGGGTCGAAGGAAATACTTTACAACGGGGACTCAATCTGTTTAGCTAATCAGAAAGAAGCTCAAGAGGTGACTCGATGACAGTGTATAAGTACCTTCACGGGGAGAAAATACCAGGTACTAAAGGGCTCTTTAACCCAGGGAGGAAGGCAGAAGAACCACCTATAGCTGGATGTTAAAGCCAGACAAATCTGAATTAGAAAAGAGGCACACATTTTTCACAGTGAGGGTGATTAACCATTGGAACAAACTGCCAAAGGAAGCGGTGAAGTCTCCATCTCTTGATGTCTTCAGATCCAGACTGGATACCTTTCTGGAAGATGCTTTAGTCCAACACAAGTTACTGGGCTCAATACAGGGGTAAGTGGGTGGAATTCTCTGTCCTGTGACATTCAGGAGGTCAGACGAGGTGAGCTAATGGTACTTTCTGGCCTTAAACGCAATGAATCTGTGAGATTTCCAGCGTTCGACTATGGCTTCTGGGCCAGATGAAGAAAGAAATACTTCACAACAATACATTCTACGCTCACTAGGTGTTCAGGTTTGGTTCTTACTTCATCCAAACTCCCATGCCTCTTTATTCTCCTGTAAGTACTTTTGCAGAGGGACAGAGGTGCTGCTGACACCACACAGCTCATATTGGTTAAGCAGTGACTATGTGACTAAGCGGTACTCAGCACGCAAGAGGACACAAAGGAAACCATGATCCCTGCGCCAAGGAAATTACAATCCAGACTGAGAAGTGGTGAAAATCAGACACACAGTGTGCTAGAGGGGCTAGAGGAGAGTGCTGTGACAGCAGACATGCTTTAAGATATTGCAACTGGGGATTTTCCAACAACTTCAATGGCCTTCATTGGATCAGAACCTTTACGAGTAGGTGACAGCATACGTTGATGTTTTTTGCATAAGAAATGAGTTTAAGGAAGGATTTGAGTAGACAGAAGGTGGCTGGTCACGCACTCTGGGTGAGAGTGCTGCAAACCAGAAAGCCCAGTAGCTTGAAGTATAAAAAGAAAATTATCCTAAAAATATCATCAGGCTGTAAAAAAGGCCAAGCCCAAAGTTATTTGCACTATGAGGAAGAATAACACTAGTGAGTGCAGTTTAACAAGAAAAACAGGACTCAAGATGCTGAAAAGCAAGAAAACAAAGTCTCTAAATATCTGATCACTGTTTCCTTCACCCAGAGGAGGGAGCTTTGATTAGTTACATCTGCATAATTACCTAAACACTCCATGTTCTAAATGGATTAAGAAAGGGTCTAAGATCTATTTCCATATGTACATATGACCTGCAGCTACCCTTACAATAATATTACTGAGGTACTAGAAGTGTTCCTGACAGAATTTAAAATCATCTTTAATCCAGAATCTTAAAAGAGAATCTCCTCAATTCTATTCTCAGCTTTGCCATTAACTTCCACTGCAGCCACGGGCCACTCATTTACTCTCTCTGCCTCAGTTTCTCTATCTTGGGAGTGATAATACTTACTTATTTGACTCACAGGCATGTTGTGAAGTTTAATTAGTCAGGGTTGACAAAGACCATTGCTAATGTAGGCTACTAAGCATTAAGAATATTTTGCATTGAACTGGGTCAGAAGAAACTTTTACAGCATTACTAAACTGACGGCCTGATGCCTCTCTGCATTCCTGTCTTTGAAATAGGAGATCTGCCTCTTTTGGCATTTTTATTCCTTTCTGCATCATCAGTAGGGATCCTAGTTTTCTGTGATGATAAAACCAAAATTCTCCCTTTCTGTGGATTGCTTGTCTGAGATAAGCCACTGTTTCCATTTAGATTATTTAGTATCACTGGCTGGCTGAGTTCATTTACTTGTGTATCAGTATTTAATGCTGCTGGCTGGATATCATTGTTATGGCATGTCTAGTTACTAATAGGATGCTCAGAGCTTTTTGTAGGAGTGTTTTTGATTATTAATAAAACCAGCCAAATAAATAAATCAATACAAATGAGCTCTGTGGTAGCCAATCCTTCCCAGAAGCATACCCTCATCCTTCCTCAAACACCCAATCAGATCAATGGTTTCTGTAGTGTGCTTGGAAGGTCAGCAAATTCAGGCTCCCCCAGATCAATAGAACAGATGTCTGGAGATTTGAGCGGCCTAATGAGGAACCAGGTGCCTTGATTTGGACCTGCGAAATTGTAAATTGATAAATGAGACAGGTGAATTGAACAGAAGAATTCACTTGGTTTTTGACAGAAGGTCTGTGGAAGTAGGGTGTTTCTTGTAATTTTGGTTCAAGAAACATGAACATTTTCAAAATAGGCCATTTGCTCTTTGGGTGTCTTTAAATTCAGGCTAGTTGCCTATTTAACCAAGTATGAATTTGCAGGTAGAAGCTATCAACAGATCCTAAAATAATAGTACATTAGCACACAATTCCTTAATGCAGAGATATCAAGCACTTGAATGTTAGCCAACTAACTGAAAGTGCCAACTCATTTCACTCCAGCAGCTGAATGCTCTTTGTATGCTGAGAACTTGTAGTGAGCTTAAACTGCAGCAAGGGCATTTAGGTTAGATATTAGGAAAAAATTTCCAACTGTAGGTGTAGTTAAGTTTTGGAATAGGTTTCCAAGGGAGGTTGTGGAATCCCCATCACTAGGGGTCGGACAAACACCTGTCAGAGACGGTATAGGTGTAATCAGTCCTGCTTTTGTGCAGGGGGCTGGACTTGATCTCCCATAGTCCCTTCCAGCCCTACATTTCTATGATTCTGTGAACTCTCTGCTAAGACCTGATTATAACAAATTACCTAGACGGCAGAGAGAGTGAGCCCCATTAGCATTCCTGGTAAGCATCCACTCCTTCTGCCCTCAGTCCAGAATCTTTCTCTTCTAGATATATTGTCCTCTTAAACAGGTGCAGGTAGAACACATATATTGAATCATGCATTGTAATGGCAATTCTGTGGCAATCCAAATATTTCATCTGTCTACTTCTTCTGGTGCAAGATCTTTAAAAATTATACATAACATATTTAAAATTTTGTTTTATAGAAATGAAATGAGTCCAATTTCATTGCTGTAGTTTACCGTTTATAGTCCTATTACTGTGGTTATTATGAAACAATTCTTTCAGGGATATAAAAACACAGAGGAATAATGAAAAACACTTCATGGCATTTATAGATCCATTCATTCCTCTATTCTCTTCCTTATTATAATTGATTACTCTATTTCTGTGCTCTATTAGCATTGTGTTTTGTGCTGCACTGGTATTTCTATCCATCTCTCTGCTTGGTCTGTCATTGACTTATCTATTTGCCAGCCAGCTTCAGATTAATTTTCCATCAGAATCTGTTAGTTACAGCACTTCAGAGTCATGGGAAATGCAGCTGGGGTTCAGGAAGACAAATTATTCTGCTGTTAACATCAGCCTCAGTGGGTTGTTGAGAACAACATTAGAGAAATGATGCCAGAGTGAATTCTCTCTAGCACAAGTTGATACATGCAGCTAATGTGTCAAATTCTGCTCTGAGTTACAGCTGTGCAAACCTTTACAGGCAAAGGGTGAATGGTTGTAACTGGCAAGGAAATTTGGGCCAATTGCTACGATGGGCAGGAGGCTATTTTATGAACATGCTTACTGTAAAGATGAGTCTGGTCTAAAACTTTGACTTGATCATAGACAGACAAAACTGCACTGCTCAGTACCTGAGAAAGGGATCTCCCCTCCCCTGCCATATAAAATGTCCAACTTCTCTGGAAAAATTACCTGAAAATAGCAGCTTGTGCTAACTTTCCACACACTGAAACTCCATTTCCCCCCCAAAATGACTGAAGCATCTGAGGATGCTGAAAGACAAATAATCTGAAATCATTTTATAAACCTGTCTTTCATACAGTGTTACACCAGGGATGTGAAATCACAGCTCCCGCAAGCAGAAAGCAACAGAACTAACCTCCATACCACTACTATCTGGACATCAGAGAGAATGGCAGATCAGATGCGGGCAAGCAAATTGGGTGAACCTTGGCTGAACTCTTCTCGAGCAGGTATAGAATCTCAAACCTCAATGTGCGTTTTTCAGATACTAATTCTAGCAGCCTCCTATTATGCTAGTGAAGAACTTAAATATTTGGATGTACCCAGACCTCTGTAATATACATGGAAGTTTAAAAATTAGCCATTTTGGCAGATATGAGATGAAGAAGTAACACTCACTCCTTAAGTCAAAAAGAAATCTTCAGTCTAGTGTATTTCCAATGCTATATGTTACATTGCAGGGTCTAGTCTCTTACTGAACCAGAGGATTTACCCAAGTAATTCTCCCAGCATGCTAATTTACACTAACAGATGAATCAACAGACTCCCTTTATGCAAATAGCAATTTGCAGTCTTTTACAGTTTATACTGTCTGAAATCCAGGACTTAGTTGTCAGGAGTGAGGGTACAGATGGGAAACAGTTCAATACCCAGCCAAGAAGTTTCCCTGAAGGGAGAGGGGTAAAAGGAATGGTGCCGGTTATGGTGCTGCTGGGTTTTGTTTCAAAAAATGAGCATTGATAAAAAACAATGACACTGTTTGCCGAACATGACTTAAAAACTGTAGTGAAACAACAAAATGATGAGTCAGATGTTGGTTCTGGGAAATTCTGTAACTATGGCAATATGCACGCTTTCCTGGTTAGGACATCAGGCTGGCATTTGGGAGTAGTTGTGCTGTGGGATTTCACTGCTTGCAATGTTGTTTATTTTCTGAGTAGTTTTATCCTGGCCTGGGTGGATCAGATGACATTAGGGGAGATGTCACCACACCTATCAAAGGACCTTGTTCTGTGGACCGGATATCAAAAGGTCTCTTTTCCCACCACCAATGCAAGAGGGATTTACCCCGATAGTAACAGTGGTAGCTAGGTGCATCACCTCCTTCTCAGGTAACCAGCCTTATCATTTGTGGGTAGCCCTGTGAAAAACTTATTAGCCACACCCCTAACATGATTGTAACCAAGTGCTGGCCACCACAATTGCACCATTATGCACAGACCCAGCCTAATGAATGGGGAGCATCAGCCAAGATTACTGTTTGGATACATTCCAAAATTAACTGACCCACTTTACACATGTGAAAGACTTTGAAGTCCCTTCATCCCAATTCCTACTGATCACATTTTCAAGGAGAAGTGCTAAAATACTTACATTAATTTCAAATGGAAGCTGAGAGTCTCTTTTCCATTTCTTGTTCCCCCAAATCGGCCAGAACCGTGGTTGCAGGCTTTGCTGGGTCCAAAAGCCACCTCTGGCTCTTCCCGTGAATGAGAGACTTCAGGTTGTGATTTTCAAAAGCACTCAGTGCTGGCTTAACTCTGCTCCCATTTAAGTCAATGGTAAAATTCCCCCTTGACATCTATGAGAGCAGAATTGGGCTAGTGCTGAGCACACCTTAGTCTTTTAACTTTGCACTATGTTAACAGCCTTTGTGCGTGTCCAAACCAAAGTTATCTTGGACCAGCTGAGCACTGCAGTGTGCCACCTCTACATATCAGAGAAATATAATGGACCATATATGACTGCATGATGTGTAAATTTCTACCCTTTGCCTGGAAAGACAGATAACCTATGGGCATATCTTCTGTATATTTCCTTTTTTCCCTGGGTAAGAAAATAAATATATCGGCTGTTTACTTTCAAACTTTAAATAAAGCCTTTGATATGGATGATCAACTGCTGATAGTTCAAAGGCATTGTGACTGGCAGTACCTCAAGAGCCTTGGCTGATATGTCACAAGTAACCACTTTAGAGAAACACCATGTGTAGAAATGAACCAGATGTGATCCAATTTTTTCCAGTGATTTCAAACTGTGCTCACAGACTGAAGTGGAAAGGGAAGTGGTGTGGCTCTTAAACCTCACTTTCCTTGCTCTCTCTATCCTTGATCCTTCCCTATTTGTCACACTCATCATCTCAGCGATTTGTCAGCTCCCAATCTCTGCTATTTGGCTCCACGTGCAAATACAGTCAAGTGCACTTTGTTACAAGATCCAAGTCAGAAAGCTTGTCAAATGCACTTTGCTGCTCTAGTCAAGTATGGATTGGAATAGAGTATCCACCCCCTGTGAACGCTTGCATTTACAACAGGGGGCTCCATCAGTGCTTGTTGCAGTTCAGATGATGTTCTACTTCCCCATATGATGAACACGCTTTTTAGTCCCGAATAACAATGACAGGTTGGGAGGCTTGGTGGTATGTTTGTGTGAAAAGCAGGAACCTGGGAAGATTGTTCACTTTGCCAAGGCTTCTTACACATGCAGCTGTGTCATGTGCTTGTGATTAGTGGATTAAATGTGCTGAAAGTGGTGATCAATAAAACAGCACATGGAAATGTAGCTCTTGTGAGATGCTGAGCACCAGCAGAACCTGCTTCACAGGATGATTGCCATGTAACAACCCTACTCCATAAATACAACCAAGTAAGCCAAATGTTTCCATTTCTTAGTGTTCCCTGTGGCTGTCGAGAGCGGTTGTCTCCTGGGTCAAGTGTAAGGCAGCCCACAAACTTGCAGTCCGTAGCTCAGCTCAGTGAGAATACAAAAAACCCCTCGGCTACAGAGGTTGAGGCACCATAATACAATGCCACCACACTTTCCTCAGGGATTCAGAATTCAACACCAGGCAGTATTTGGTCCATACATATCAAGTTGGTTGGCTGGAGGTAGAGATGGGGAGGAGTTTGAATCAGAAGCATTTGACAAGCTTTGCCTGTATGGGGTGAATGGTTTCTTTTAATTAAAAGAAGCTGGTATTTAATCTCTCTGCCTACTGTATGTTAAGGCAGTTGAATGGTATTGGAAGAAAATGCACAAGGCTGTAGCCAGAGCATTTTCAACTGATTTAATATCAACTTTAGACACAGATCTCAGCTCCTTACCTTGGCTGTGATAGACTCTCTGTTTTCCTGCATGTTAGAAATGGCTTCAGCAATCCGGGTGTGAATGGTACCAATTACAGTGTCTACATTGGATGGTCCATCAAACCGGTCAGCCACTAGCAGCATAGAATCTAGTAAAATAAGAGAGATGGAGACACCCTTTAAGTACATACTATACAAATCAAATTATAGTGTAACTTAAAATGTACATATATTTGTATTGGGAGGAATCAAACATTTGCCCCTCAGTAGATGAAGGCGTTGAAGAACATCTTCCAGGTACTTGTATTGTGTGTATATTTTCAGTAGTTTCACACTGAATTTGGCAGCATTCAAAATAAGGCCCAAATGCATCAGTAAGGGAATCCATAGTTCCAGATGAACACCATAGGGAAGTAACAGCTATTACAGCATCTCTTTGCAGACTACCACTACCTCACAAAATGACCAGAGAGCATTGGGTGTTCTATAGAGAGAAATCTGTGCAGAAATATAAAGCAAGGATCTTGCTCTAACCCTCCCCTATTGGCTTGCGTTCAACTTTCAACCAAGTGCTGCTAGGAATGGAACTCTGGAGATGGTGGTGTTTACACAAAGTGCCCACGGAAGGGTTTTATGAGTAATAGGCACGTGTGTGGCTCCCATAACGGGGATGGAGAAAAAAAACTTCCTCCCAGTGAATATTTCCCATGCACCATTTTAAATCTGAGTGCTCTGGCAGGATGAAGCATGACCAGCAAGGGAAAATGTCTACCTCACATGTGGAACAACAGAGCACAACACGTGCAACTAAACTGGTAAGAGAGGAGGTGAGGGGGGTGAGAAGTGGGTGAAAGGTGCCCAGTGCTCTAAGCTGCTATTGATTTCAGCACCTCACAAGCTCTGGAGCTGAAATGACAATGGATCAGAGCAGAATTCATCCATGTTCTAGAAGTTATTTACTGGATTTATGCCTTGCTGGATTTTACTGGCAACACAAGCTAATGCAGAAGGAAATTTTATATACGTGCATGGTACTGGAGATCAAAAGAACATAGTGTGTATACAGACTGATACCCTGAATGTCCAGAGACCGGAAACAACCAAGACCTTAGAGGTTAAAGGAATGGATTAAAAATGGGACTGTTTGTACACCGCCATCTGCAGGTTCTTAACTACTGACAACTGCCATCAAGTTCAGATTCTTCTTTTGAGAATTGCAGTGCAAAGTCTCCTCTTGATGTCTTTGTCTTTACTAAGAGATGCCATTCACCTTCCTAGAAATGCAGCCCCTGCTCTATAAACATTGTATTAGCCTCTACGTTTATTTAATTGTATAGATCTGTGAGTGGAGTATAGCAGCGCAAGAGTGAGTGGACTACCAGCACTGGATGGCTTGATAAAAGCACAGGTTCGCATAGGTTCCCTTATTCCACCACTGTGCATGCTCTGCCAATGCACCTCAGCCCTGTTCTACGATATCCACTGCTTTCCAAAGCAAGCCCCCTGCACTTCCAGTTCTGCCACTGCATTTAAATCTTGAACTGCAATCTTTCCACTCTTTGCTATTTCCTCTATTGAGTGCTCCAAAACAATAAATGGGATGACCCCAAAACTGAGTCACACACCAGAACACTACACATCCAGTGCACAGGAAGAGACAGTGTTGTAAGTGAAAAATCCTGAGGTTTCTAATGAATCCTGTGTGGTGAGACCATCATACTATAAATAGACTTAACAATAATGTCAATCAGCATTGCTTTTATTTTTAACCACATAGTTTGACATAAAAATATCTCATAACCACCTATTGGGCATTGACACCTGTACTGATTTCAATGCACTTTTGTTTAACAAATAAACTAGACCACTGAACTGGATAAAATCAGATTGTGGAGGAAAACGGACGATGTTAACAAAATGCTTGGAATCCCTGCTATCTGCCCATACAGAAAAATGATTTGTCTGCCCTAAGCTGTTTTTTCTTCCCAATATATAGAGGGTCAAATCCTGAGGTCCTTAACTCAAGAAAGCTACCATTCACTTCAATGGGACTGAGCAAGGTCTATTCTAGTTCTTCTACTCTACCCATCAGTTGGTACCCAGACTGCTCTCAGGGGATGGTGTGGTGTTGTACAAAGGCTTACTCAGCATGAGTATGTATTGCCAGCATTATTCACTCCACACCTCAATGCATTCTGTACCTGTCACATGTTACTAATAGAAATAAATGTGCATGCTTCTGAACAATTTTAGCTTGTGGATGCATTAATTCTGGGGACACATATTGATAGATGAAAGGAAATCCCCAAAATCATTGATAAAATTCAATCTATCACTCACTGTAAAACATCTCCTTTAACTTGACCTGCCCTGCTCTGACCATATAATACAGTAGCTACATGTTTGTCATTACAATTTCATGTTCAACCACAAACAATGGGGTAAGAGCGAAGGATGCAGAGTGGCAGTGAATTTCCACTGTAGTGAGGCAGTGTGGTTCCCTGCTGCCCTGGAGAGAGACGAGCCCCTTCAGACACCAGAGTGGGTGGAACCAGGGAGCTCTGAGCCTGCCCCCCCAAAGGGTCAGGCGCTGCCCCTGAAGTATAAAGGCCTGACCTCAGGGCTCACCGTAGAGGCAGCCGACGGGGAGGCCAGACGCCTCCGACCTAGCTCGCGAGTGGGAAAGCCCAGCGGCCTGCAGAAAACCTAAGGACTGGCCCGGCCTGCCCCACGCCACCTACCCGGAGGAGTTGCCAAGCCTGCCCCTGGCCAGCTACCCCGAGGAACCCATGGTGCTGTATCCCCCTGAGGACACCACCCTGACCCAGGTACCTCAAGAGGGGGAGTCGAAGTAGCCTGGGGGGCAGGCGACCCTACTCTGGCTGCAGCCCTGCGAGAACCCATGTCAGTGTGTTGCGGCCAGGATCCCCACTGACACAGCAGCGGGTCTTCTGCTGCTGCTAGGGCCCCGGACTGGGACTCAGTGGAGTGGGAGGGCCTGAGTCCCCCCCTGCCACCCAACTCACGGGTGGCAGTCTCCCCCTCTCCCAGACCCTTTGGAACGTAGGGCCTGGACCTACTGTTACTGCTCAGCCCCGGCCTGACTCACCAGTGCCCCGCCCTGACCTAGGGCCTGGGCTTACCATTAGATACTGTTACTGCTCAGCCCTGCTGAGGGCCTGAGCGCCTGACTCACCAATGCCCCGCCCTAGGGTCACTGTGCTTATTTTGTACCTTCACTAAGGCCATAGAGGAAGACTGGTGCGGCCGGACTAATTCCCCGCAAGAGCTGTTCCCCAAGGTAGCGAGGCGGTTTGGTCCCCTGCTGCCCCGGAGAGAGACAAGCGCCGGCTAGCCTCTCTACACGTGGTGGAGAATGTGGGCACGATCCCTCAACACCTGTGAGAAGGGGTATGGCGGGGAACATACCCCAGAATGAGCCATGGATATGGACAAACTTACCAAGCTCCTGACCGAGAGCCAGGAGCGGCAGCAGGCGGCCCAGCTCCAGCAGCAGCAGCAGCTGGGAACACAGCAACAGCAGCTGATTCGGGATCTGGGGGTTCAGAACCAGGAACAACAGCGGCAATGCCGGCAGCAGCTGGCAATGGCACTGCCGTGCCCCGCAGAGCCCCAGCCGGGAGACGCGGCCGGCTCACCCCGCACCGCTGCGCCAGTGCGGCTGACCAAGATGGGACCTGATGACGACCCTGAAGCTTTTTTGGTAACTTTTGAAAGAGTAGCACTGGTTGCAGGGTGGGTCCCTGACCAATGGGCCACTCTCCTGGCCCCGTACTTAACCAGGACAGCCCAAACAGCGTACAGAGGGCTGTCTATGGAGGATACACAGGACTATAACCAGGTAAAGGCAGCGATTCTGGACGCCTTAAATGTCAGCCCGGAAACCTTTCGGCATCGGTTCTGGAGCTATCCCACCGGCACCAGACCCCGGTTGGTGGCCCAAGAGCTGAAGGAAGCATGCAAGTAGTGGCTACAACCAGAGAGGACGACCGCGGACGAGGTCCCGGAACAAATTATTTTAGAACAATTCATATACAGCCTCCTGGCGTGAGGAAGGGCCTGGGTGCTTCGCCATTGGCCAGCAATGCTTGCCGCCGCCGTCGCTTTGATGGAAGACTTCCTTGCGGCCGAAGCACCGGTGGGCCCAGCTACTAGAGCCCACTCCCCAGGACCAGAGTGCCCGAACCCTGAAAAGAAAGGGGGCGCTCAGACCGAAGTGTGGAGTCTTCCCCGTGGGCAAGAGGCTTGCTTAGGGCTTTGGGCTAGACGCCCTGAACTCCCACCTTGACAAGGATCTGCGCCCCCTGTGCCAAGTGTCCCGTCGGAGTCCTCCCAGGGGCCCAATGGGAACCCTCTCCCCCCCAGGGTGGTCACCCGGAACTCGGGCCCTGCTTTGTATGCAGGAAGTATGGAGACTTACAGCATGACTGCACTGAGGTGGACTGCAGCTTCGGCCACATCTGTGCAGGAGAGACCGGAGCTTGGCTACCACAGGTCCCCAAGATCACGGTACTGGTAATTGTCGGGGACCACCCAGCCCTGGCCCTGATCAATTGGGGCTGTGGCCAGACGCTAATCCGTCAGACCTTGGGGCCTCGGGCCAACCCCCACCTGTGGACGATCCGGCTGCAATGTATCCACGGCGACGTGCGGCCATATCCCAGTGCCTGGTCCCACTAATGGTGGCCAGAATCACACGATGGATGGTCGTTGGCCTGGCTCCTCGACTAGCATACCCAGTGATTCTGGGGCGAGACTTGCCGGCGTTCGAAGAGATCCTCCGCTCGACCTCTGTGCTCGAAGGAGATTGCCCTGAGGCCCAACCGGAGGAGGAAATCCCAGATCCCGAGGGAGGGACCGAGGAACCCCCGTCAGGGCCGGCTATCAAACCCCGACTTAACACAGGCTTTTCCTGCAATCAAAGAGCAGTCCCCACCTTTAGTTGGGCCCATGGACAACTAGCCGCTGTCGATGGGGCTGTGATCGACCTGCATCGTGCAAATCAGTGGCCCTGGTTTGAGCTACGCCATGACCGTCTTTACCGGGTGGAACAGGATCCCCGCATGGGAGAACCACGGTCCCAGCTGCTGGTGCTTCAGTGCCGCCGATGAGCGGTAATGAAGCTCGT